TCGTTAGTTACTTACTCTCTCTCTCTCTCTCTCTCTCTCTCTCTCTCTCTCTCTCCTCTGTTCGTTCTCTTCTCTCATTCTTATTCTCTCTCTTCTCTCTCTCTTTCTCTTTGTCTCTGTATCTCTCTCTCTCTCTCTCTCCCTCCCTTCTACTGCTCTCATTGATCTTCTCTCTTCCTCCGTTTCTCTCGCATTCATCGTTGTTTGTCGCAGCAACCACGACAGTCCGAGCAGTTCTCGATCACACAGATCCAAGAAGAGCAAGAAGTCCTCTTCCAAGCATAGGTCTCCGTCGCGAACACCGTCTCGAAGACATCATCATAGCGCGCGACGAAAGGGAAGCAACTCCTCGTATTCGGATTCGAGTTCATCTTGAGAGCATCTTGCTCTCCTCGTATTTACATATAAAACGCGCGTAAAAACTTATCTACACACACACACGACACATATATACATACATATGTACGCATACAAGTTATATATAAGTGTGCGTGTAAATACGTATGTATACATAGTTTCGAGGATATCTATGTTGATAATTAATGAATGCGTCGGCGATAATCGAAGGGTTCGTAACAAAAACGATCCTTCGGTATTAACATATATTAAAATTTCAACGCAATTTCACGATCCGATTAGATATCGTTTCTTGCGCGATGCGATTTAAAAAAAAAAAAAAAAAAAAAAAAAAAAAAAAAGAAAAGAAGAAAAAGAAAAAAAAAAAACCGTGTGACGTTTGTTCGTTTATAACGTTCGATGTATGTAACAGAACGAGTATCATTTTGTAAGTAAATTGATGAAAGGAATCCGTTCTTTTGAAGAAGGGAAGAAGGAAAAAATCGGCAAGGGTCGTTTTTGATACGAATCCCTTTTCAATTTAATATAACTTTTGTCCAATGAGAAATAATAAAAAAAAAAAGAAAAGAAAAGAAAAGAAAAAAAAATAAAACCAACGAAAAAAAGAAAAGTGGAAGAATAAAAAAGAAGAAGTTTTAACAAGATATCGTACTGTATCGATCAGCTGTAATTTATTTATTGCTTTTCCTTTATCCGACTACGGATAAATACAAATATAACGCGCAATTGAATAAGATAGATAACGAACGAGGGATGAATCGATGACGATCACGGAAATGACGCGACCCGTGCGAAATCGTACTTGCATCGATCTTCGTAATCGTAAAAACATCTCGACGATCGCGATGTATCGCTCGTGAACGATGAAGAATCGATTCGAGCGTATCTTTTCTTTTTTTTTTCTTTTTTTTTTCTTTTTCAAATTCGGCAGAGCAACACTTTCTTAATTTTTTTTCCCCCGCGAATGGATAAATATTTTGTTACATTGCATATTATATTTAACATCAAAGGTTATCGATTCAAAGTATTCCACGAGGTTGAATATAACATAATATATACGCGCGGTATCGATGCGGATTGAAACGCAAACAAAGAGGGAAAAAAGCAAATGATGCAAAACGCGATTCTACCCGCGAGTATTCGTTTCCACTCCCCACCCCCCTCCTCGAACGTTTCGTATCGTCTAAATAAGTAAGCCAAGTAGTTCTTCCTCGGTAATTCGTGGTATGAAAATAGCATCGATGCGTTATGCATTTAACACCGATCGAATATAAACTGCCACGAGGATTTATTTGCGCCAAATCAATTGTCGCCTAATTGAGTTTAATAAATCGAGAACGGATCGTTTGAATTACGCAAAAGGCTACTCGGAAGGCTACAACGAGAAGAGGAACACCTGTTTAATAATGATAATATTTTCTTTCTTTCTTTCTTTCTTTCTTTCTTTCTCGCCAGAAAGTCGGTAAAGTCGGTAAAACGTAAATGTGGCCAACTATGGAGGATCGAAGACGAACGTTTTTTCTTCTCTCTCTCTCTCTCTCTCTCTCCTATCTCTCGTTTCTTCTTTCCCTCCTGAATTCTATTCTCAAAGAAAGAAAGAAAGAAAGAAAGAAAAAAGAGGGGGATCATGGATGAAACAGAGTGACTTTTCACAAACGAATAGAAGGCTATCGTAACGCGTTCGTTATTTTTCGCATAGCCGAGTATTCCTTTTTTTTTTTCCCCTTCTCCTTCTTTTCACCGAATAAAGAATACCATTCACGCTATCCCAGATCTATCTTTGTGCGTCGCTTTTGACGCGATTACGTCAAATTATGCCTTTTGTCGCTTTATATAACGGCATTGATCAATTCGAATCGCGGAATAAGAGTATCTGCTTTCATAAAAGGAGAAAGAAAGAAAGAAAGAAAGGAAGAAGAGAAGAAGACGAAGCGCGGACAAAGAGGAAGGGAAGAGAGGAGAGGGGAATCTGATTATATATCGAGTATGATCGGGTCGAATTGTCGTTGGAGAAGGAATGCAAAAGTTCGGAAGGAAAAAAGAAAACTTTCCCGAGAAACTGGGACGCGACGACGATGTATTGTTCGTGCGAGGGAGGGGGAGAGCGAAAATCCCGCGTTGAGGAGACGCGTCGATTGGGGTATCGGCGAGTGCATTAGTGTGGCAAATCGTTAATAATTCCACGATCATTCTTTTCTTTTTTTTTTTTTTTTGTTATTCCCGTCTGTTTAGAAACGCGCGCGAATGTGTCGGATCGAGATAACGGATGTATGGAATATTACACACGTGACCATACTTTGATCAAGCAGAGGTCAAGTGTGAATTGCCTCAGATTTATAAGTTAACTCGGTCGCATGGGATCGGTCAGTCAGTCAGTCAGTGTTGCATGCTCAATATCAGTCGGAATATAGCCATACAGATAGATAGATGTCGACGCAAACGTTGGTAAGTATATCAACAGCGAGAGATAGAGAGAGAGAGACTTACTTCTTCTCTCTCTCTCTCTCTCTCTCTTCCTCTCGCGATGAACGGGGAAAAAATAATGGGAAATTCAAATTCTCTCCCCGTTGATATTTTACCTATCACCTGTTACTCGCAACGGGATTCGAAAGAATTCGAAAGATGGAAAGGAAGGAGGAGAGAGGGAGAGAGAGGGAGGATAATCAGAGGATTTGGGGGGGGTGGCGACGACAGTTACAGCCGCGACGAGAGGCGAGGATTTTGGATCCTTCGGACAAGTATCGGCCGGAGCCGGTTTACGCGGGAAAATTGAAAAGGGAGTTCAGGGATTACAGCGAGGATCGGAACGATCCGGTTAAGGAACGGGTGAGAAAGACATATCGCAAGATGCACTCGAATCAAACCGTCGAGTTCGTGCGATGTGAGTAGCCAGGGAAAGGATTAGTTTCTCGATCTCGAATCGATTTAACCAACCCCCTCCCTTTTTCCTCAGCGCGTATGAAGGAGTGGTTACGATTCGACAAGTTCAGAATGACGGTCAAGGAGGCATTGGCCAAGTTGAACGATCTGGTGGACGAGAGCGATCCGGACACCGATCTGCCCAACATCGTGCACGCGTTCCAAACCGCGGAGTTGATCAGGAAAGAGCACCCCGACTTGGATTGGTTCCATCTCACCGGTTTGATCCACGATCTGGGCAAGGTAAGGGACCGGCCGACGAAATTCCACGTTTTCCTCGATGACTCTCTCCTCGCGCAGGTGATGGCGTTCTACGGGGAGCCACAGTGGGCAGTGGTGGGCGACACGTTTCCAGTGGGATGCGCCTGGGCCGACTCGATCGTCTACAGAGACACCAGCTTCGAGGATAATCCGGACGGGAAAGATCCTCGATACAAGTGAGTAGAGGTTGGGAAGAGAAAGATCGGAGGCATTTTTGTCGTTTTTCAGCACGAAGTACGGTATGTACGAGGCGGAATGCGGGATAGACAATTTGCTAATGTCGTGGGGCCACGACGAGTATCTGTATCGCGTGCTCGTGCACAACAACTGCAAACTGCCCAACGAGGCTCTGGCGATGATTCGTTATCATTCGTTCTATCCGTGGCACGCGGGTGGCGATTACATGCACTTTTGCACGTCGAAAGACATGGAAACGTTGAAATGGATCGTCGAGTTTAAGTGAGTTAAGAGAGGGTTGTTATTACGTAAAATGAAGAGAATCATATCGAACTCGTTTTCAGCAAGTACGATCTGTACACGAAGAACAACGAGGTGCCCGAAATCGAGAAATTGTGGCCGTATTACGAGAAATTGATCGACAAATACATCCCCGGAGTGTTGGAATGGTAGAGGAAGCGCGAGCGAAACACGAGTGTTGGATCGAAGAAGACGTTGTTTTGGCGCCGTGACTTGGCGCCGCACACGCGAATCGATGGATCTTCCGATTCCATGTTCCTGTCCTGTAGAGTAAAATAAAAAATGGATAACCACACATATCCATCCTTTAGCCAATAAGTACGAAGAAATCGAAATTTGTTTATTTCTGTAATTTTTCTCTCACTCGGTAAAATTCGCTCGATCGAAACAAATCGACGATGATCCAATGGGTCAAGGTTCTGCAACGTGTAGTTTACTCGAAGGAGGAGGAGGAGGAGGTGGCGGTGTGCAAACCCATCCTTTCCTTTCCTTTCCTTCCTGTCTCTTTCGTTTCCTCTATCGATCGAGCTTTCGCCCCGATCGGTCGATGATTTTCCATTTTTAGCAAGAAACGAACGAGATAAAGAAACGCATCCCTCGTTTCAACGAAACGACGACCGAGGGAGAGGAGCGGAATTTTTAGAAGAATTTTGCGACGCGATGCCTCTGCCCGCGAAACGGGTTGGGAAGAAGCTCTATAAACCACTTCGGGTATGCGTGGTTTCGCGGGTAATCGAAAACCCCGTCGTAGTAGTCGTCGCCCACTTTCGAGAAGACCCATCCGTCTTTCCCACGTAGATCCCCATCCGATTCCAACTCTTCTCGACTCGAGATGGAGGGGAGCGGCGGAAGCGCACGAAGCGCTTCTGGGAGAAAATGACCGCGGAAACGCGTTTGGGAACCAAAACTCTGCACAACAGAACCAACTCTCTCTCTCTCTCTCTCCGTGAGTGGCGTTCGAGCGCAAAAACGTCGGAAACGACGACGACGACGACGACGACGGCGGCGGGGCTACGATGAGGCTTCCTCTTTACGTTTTTTAAGAAGAGGTCGACGTCGTCCGTTCCATTCGATTTCGTTCGGGGTGAGAAACGCGTTTCTCTGCGAATCTCGCGTAGGTGGTGGTCGTTGGAGTGGAGGTTGGTTGCGGTGGCGTGGCGGCGACGAAATTGGCTTAGTCATCGCCGCGTTATTACGGGACATTACGGGGTATTAGCGAGCGACAACGATTGGAGGGGAGGGGGAAGATCGGCCTGTTCGTGAATCATTCGCTTCTCCTCCACCTTGCGAACCTCGTGCTCGAATTCCAGGAACGCGGCGCGAGGTGGAAACCGAGCGAATGGGAGGAGAAAGGGGGGGGGAGGCGTGAGATCGTACGGCGGAGCGTGAGAGGCAGGGCGCGTCGAATATCCCCGTTTCCAATCTCGTTAATTCCTTTCTCCGTCCCTCTCTCTCTCTCTATCTGTCTCTCCCTCCCCTCCCCCCTTATTCAGGATCGATCGATCGACGAGGATGAGGACGGAGGAGGGTAGGCGCGAGGCCTATCTTTCCAATGATGCAAGCTCGCGCGAAATTCCGCGTGACGTGTCGCACGAAAACGCGATCTCACGCCAACTGTTTTGTTGTTCCACGAAAGAAACGCGCGCCACTAGCGGGAATTCGTTTCACCGATCGATCGATTCCCCGAAATCTCGTCGTTCTCCTCGTGTATAAAGCGATACCTCACCGGGGATACTTTCGAGGTGGTGTGGTGACGATTCGACGAGAATAGATCGGACGAGAGAGAGAGAGAGAGGAGGGAGGGAGGAGAAAAGAATAATAATTTCGTTCGTATTGCACGAGACGAAAGTGGAGTAAAGTGAATCTGAAGAAGTAAGAGAGTAAGAGAAGGAAAAGGAAGAAGAAGAAGAAAGGGAGGGGGGAGGGGGAGGATTCGGTTTCGTTTCGAGGCGACTTTTGACCTGAACCAGCGCGATTACTCCAATCTCTCTCGGCTCCGTTCGTTCTCTACGATTTTGTTCCATTTAACGGTTCTTCCGGTGATAAGAAGCCACGGACGAGGCGGCGCCTCGTTGCTTCCGCGTCGCGCGTGAAACGAGAGGAAGAGAGAAAGAAAGAAAAAAATCTCGAGAATCGACGAAGGTGTACGACAAAAGGTATACGCGATTATAATTATTCGAGCGGGTTGATCGACGACGACGACTACGACTACGACTACGACTACGACGATCGAAGAACGAGAAGGAAACGGAATCGCGGTGGATCGCGATTGGAAGCGCGAGTAGAGCAGTCCCCAACCGGCGGGGAGCAGTAAATGGGATGGATATATACGCGAGTGTGCGTTCCCGAGTACGGTATTCGGCAGTCGGCGCGCGACGTTCGAACGGAGCGGGTCGCGTCCCGTTCCGTTTCAAGTTGTCTCCCTTCGATATTCGATCACCGTCGTCGTCGGAAGGAGGGAAGCTCGGGTAAAAATCATCGATAAAAATCGTCGTAAATGTTGGATCGGCTCGTGTTTTAAGATGACCGCCTCGGCGTTGCCCCATTCGTCTTCTCCATCCTATCCCATCCGACTCGATTCCGCCTCGTCCTGGTCCACGCCTCCGCGGCCCCGATCCTGGTCCTGGCCCTCGCGATCCTGCTCGCCTCGTTCCCCGTTACGCAGAAAGAAGAAACCGAGCCGGTGGACCGTCCATCGTTGCGATCTCTATCGTTTGAGATTACATCATTGCGCGATAAAAACGGTCGAGAACCCGATTCTCGAAACGTCAAAATAAAAGAATCGCTCGAGGGGCGGGGAGGGGAGGGGGGGGGAAGGAAGGGTTTCAACGGGGGTGGAAGGAAGTGAATTGCTCGTGACGTAATACACACGCGCACGCACACACACACACGCAGAACGTGACGCAGAGGATAAAAGAAGAAAGAAAAAGAAAAAGAGAAAAAAAAAGAAAGAAGGAAGAAGAAAAGCGAGAGGGGCATGTCGATTCCAAGTGTCGGAGGATATCGTCGAACGGGAAATCAGAGAAACTCGGGAGAGGACGATCGAGACGAGGGAGGAAAGTGAGATATAAAATATTGAATCGAGGGGTGAAAGGTGGATCGCGAGGTTAAACTCGTGGATTGAGGAGCCGGCTATGAGAGGAAAGCTCGTGGCGACTCGTGGTCGACTCGTGACCCGTGACAACGAGGGACAAGAAGAAGAAGAAGAGAAGAAGAGGAGGAGGAGGAGGAGGAAGGCATCGGCGCGGTCGCTCGAGCGTGATTCCGGCCGCGTCGCGCCGCTTCCTATTCGCGGGACGACCATCCCACGGATTGGACGGATCGAGGATCGGCCGAGGATAGTCCACCGTCGTCGAAGGTTCGAGGGAGATCGGAGAATCGTTGGGCAATGGACGAGCGAGAAGAAGGATGGGCGCCGGGTGGAGATCGATCGTGGATCGCCGATCCCTCGGTTGTTCGGGATAGCGACGTTGGTGGCGGTGGCGGCGGCGCTTTTCGTGCCGATCGCGTCGCCCGTTCCGCTCTCTGGAACCGGTCCCCGGGCACGCGAGGACGACCTCCACCGCTTCACCGGTCTCGAGGACGTCTACGAGGATGTTTTCCGAGAAGAGGATCGGGCGTCGAGGAGCGGCGACGAGACCGAGCTCGATATTATCAGGAGGAGCATAGCGCGTGGTCTCGGCCTCGAGAGGATACCCGACCCTTCCAAGGTGAGTAGTCTCGTCTCCCTTCCTTCCCCTCCCTTCCTCCCTCTCGCCGTTAAAACTTACTTACGGACGATCACGATCGATACGGGAAGGAAAATAAGGTATCCTCGCTCGTGGAGTGGAATAACGAAGTATGCGAAGAGAAAGGAGAGGTTACGTGTCGGTATAGAATATTGTACGTTGTACGCGCGTGAGGTGAGGAGAGAAAAGGAAAAAAGAAAAATGGGGGAGATGAAAAGGACGAAAGAAAAGGATGGGAGAGAAATGGCGGGAATCGCAGCGATGGTGCAACGCGGTGGGTGGTCCGCCGTTGCCCCACTTTCGCTACGTATGCACGAGCACGTGCGCATTCCTGCTAGTATGCAGAACCGGCTACGCTGTCCACGTGCGTGTGCCAACTCGGCTTCTTCGTTTTCTCCAACCGCGATCGGTCGTTGCACCGTTAAAAAACTCCGTCGAGTTTCCATCTCCACGTTGCGATCGATCGTTACGACTCGAATTCCGCCTCGATTGGGTCGATGACGACGCTCGTTCGGATCGAAGCGCGGTGAAGAGGCGCGCAGAGGGGCCAAACACCTGTTGTCGCAGCCTCTATATCTCTGCGCCGTTATACGTGCACGCGACACGACCACAACGTCGATTCTTGGCCGTCCTCCAAACTCGAGGACATCCTCGAGAAACGCGTGAGAGCACGCGGCTCTCGAACCTATCTATATATATATATATATACATATACGTATATTCTATACCTGTGGTTACATACGCCAAAGGGAAGATGATAGAACCAGTTATCTTTCTGGTTCCGCGTACTATTCTCGTCTTTTACCTCGTTCCACTATCTGTCCACGTATCTATCTATCCATCCATTCTCCATTCTCGTGTACACGTTGTGACATTTTTTGGAAGGAAAAGAAAGGGGAGGGAGGGGAAATCTTTTCGACGGAATCGTCCACTTTCACTCCTCTCTTCGAACGCGCGACGAAGGCAGAGGAGGCAGAGGGTTAAGCGAAGAATGCGGACCGACTCGTCGTCCCTCGACGGATACACCTAGGCGTGGAACGCCGTGCCACACTTCGCGAAACGTCTTTTCTCTTCGATGAGATTTATCGCGTGGGAGGTAAGCGAGCGTTCGTTCAAGGTCGTCCGCATTCGTCGTGCCAACGTCGTCGCACGACGTCGCGCGAAACGGAATTTCGAATTCTCGAAGGGAATCGTCCGTTCTCCTTCTCTCCTCCTCCTCCTCCCTCTTTTTCACTCTACCGTTGTTATTTGCTCGCCGAGAAAAATATCATCTTGGAGTTTCGCGATAACGGGCGTCGTTGGGTAAGCGAGCAAAAGAGGCAAACCGAGACGAAAGACCAACGAACGCGACGAACGTGACACCGATGACCACAGCTGACCGACCTTTCGAACGAGTCAAGCGGTTGGGGCACCGGTCGGCAACGATCTCTTCTCTCTCTTCTCTCTCTCTCTCTCTTTCTCTCTGCTCTTTCCATCGATTCACCGAGCGTTTCTTAATCGATTTAGTCGCGACCAACTTCCCTTTTTCGTATACTCTGTGTGTGTGTGTATGTGTGTGCGCGCGCGTGTGTGTGTGTGTGTAGCGCATAAAAGTGTCGAGTTTGAAAGAAAACGAACGGTCTCGACGAAACGGAACTCGTCCCAGCCGAGTTTAAACGAGCGAAGGCGTCTCCGCTGGATAAAAGAAGAAAACGACACCGTCTGTGTCCACCGAGTTGGGTGAGAATCGTGGTCCTTTGAGAACAACGCCGTCTTCTTTTCTTCGATCCTACGAGAGGGGATCTATTTTCCTCGGTCGGTTAAACGTCGGTTTCCAACGTTGCGTTTGTCCCCCGCTGCGTGCCGCGAGTAGCTAGGCCCACGCGAGCTGGTTAATTTTACCGGAAACGTCTAGCGTGTCTGGACTTTCTCACCATGGAAATTATATACCAACATCGGCGACGGCGAGAGTAAAGTAGCGAGAGCGAGGAAGGAGGGTCGTGTTTCGAGTGGAGGGGGAGGGAGGGAGGGAGGGAGGGACTCGAAAATTGCAGCAACCAGCCTGGAGGAACGACAAAGGAAAGGCTGAAGAATAGGAGAAGAAACGAGTGCGAAGGGGTGTTGGGAAAACAACGGAGAATGACGGATGAATTACGAGTGGCGGCGAGTGGCGAGTTGCGAGTGACGGACGAGACGAGACGAGACGAGACGAGACGAGACGAGACGAGAAGAGAAGAGAGGAGAGACCAGTAGAGTCGTTGAGCTATTGACTAGCGACGTTAGGAAAAAAAAAAAAAGAACGAGTAGAGAGAAACGATTTTCGTTTCGGAATCGATTCGAATTTCTCCAACGCTCGGATTTCGTTTCTAAAAATGTGAACGATCTTCTTCGCATTCGTTCGTCGGACGTTTACACACCTCTTGTTTCTCTCCTTTTTTCTCCTGCTTGTTTTATCCTTCTTTCTTTCTTTCTTTTTTTCTTTTTTTTAGGCAAACGTCAGTCAAGCCGAATACGAGAGAGCGCACAGAGAGTACCTGATGAGAGTACAGCCCTCGTTTTCCAACGAAGCGACGACATTCGGAAGCGAAAAGAAGCTGCACGTGTTTCCCGCTACAGGTAATTGTACCACTCTTTTATCCTCTTCTCTCGAATCATCGATACTTTACTATCCGGTTCTTTCGAACCGGAGATCTTTGGAAACGCGAAATATCGTACGGTCTTTCTGAAAAAATATACATACGCACGCTATAATTACTACTCGTGTAAACATCTAACGTTCGAGTTTCCGCCAGTCTGGCAACGTCGGCGAGATTTTACCTCGCGTATCTGGAGTCGAGACACGCATCCCGCCGACACAACCGCGCGTCTCTATCCACCTTCCATTCCCCTCTTTATCTCTATCGATTCCCGTTCGATCGAGAAAAATAATTGCGAATCGAGCGCAAAAGGGCAAACGCGATTTTCGCGTTCCGAGTTTCATTCCAAGTTCTAACCTATACGGATATCTCCGCGAGAAGCAACTACGTTATTATGAAAGAGAAATTCCGACCGGCATGGAATGCCGAGTAACGAGTTCCCGAATGCAATAAGAAGAAGTCGTGGAGGAAGAGCAATTTCTCGACGACTCTCACGCATCACTTTCGACCACCGATCATAGACTTGATCGTAATCGTTTTCGTCGCGACTTACTACTGCTATTTACTATTACTATTACTACTCGTCCGCGTATCGAAAAATTATTCTTGAAGACACGATTTTGTTTCGATGTCAATCGAATGTAAATGCGAATATTTTCTTCTCGATAACGATAACCGAGAGATTCAACCTCTTTCGATCGGTCACGCGTGTTAAAAAAATAATTACAATTTCTCTTTTCGCTCGATTTCGTAACCGCTAATCGCTCTACACGTGACGCGTGTAGCGACTTCTTTTCCCCCACTCTTATCGATTTTTAACGTACAATATGTGCATCCAACAAGTATCTACGTATCTCTAATCGTTGTAACGAACGAAATGAAAATTGGACGCGTGTCCATCCACAAATTTCCTCTGGAAGAGTTGATAATTCGATTAATTAATCGATGAAAACGGTTTGAGCTTTGATACGCCGGATACGTACGAGAGAACGTGCCTATTCCTTCTCGTACTCGTATACATTTGTTTTCATCGAATCTTCTGGTAACATCCAGGAGCCGATGATCGCGAAAGAAAAACAAAGGTACGGAGATGAGAGGATTAGTTAGAAAAAATCGCGTATTCGAGGATTCAAGGATTTTTCATTTACGTAACCGATTCAACGTCGTCGTTTATTCCGTTCCGATTTGATTGTGTGTTGCAGCGTATCCTGGAAACGTATCGACCGAGACAAGCGAAAGGGAAAAACCTTACCGTCATCGCTTGTTCTTCCCCGTGGAGAAGGATCTGGATCGCGCGACCGTCGATCACGCAACGCTTCGACTGTTGCTCCACGGGCCTACGACCGACCAATATTATTCCCAGTCTTCCGAATTGGACGTGTTGCTCTATCTCGGAGTATCGTCGTTCCCTCGTCGGTCGATAAGATTGATCGATCGTACAAGAATACGATCCGAGGATTGGCGAAACTCGAAATGGCTCGAACTGGACGCTACTTTCGCCGTTTCCTCGTGGATCGAAGCTCCTCTTTCCAATCTTGGACTCGAATTAGAATTTTTATTGGACGGAGAAACGGTGACGCGTACCTTTTCCTCCCCGGTTCTTAACGTGTTCACCGCGACTCCTTTCGCGTCGACCACCGCTCTCAGACGCAAACGTTCATCGCCCGAACAAGTGATGTCCCTTCACAGAGGTCGTAGAACCAAGTGCAAAGGCGAGGGTAAAAAGTGTTGCAGACACGAACTCACCGTCATGTTTAAAGACTTGAAAGGTTTCGAGTTTATCGTTTATCCGAAAACTTTCGATGCCGGATATTGTAAAGGACGATGCCCGCCTAGATACAATCCGGCTCATCATCATGCTCTTCTACAAAGTCTGTTGTGGAAAGAAGATAGAAAAAAAGTGCCTAAACCGTGCTGCGCGCCGAGTAAACTCGATCAATTGATGATCGTTTACTTCGACGAGAATAATTCCACTCGGTTGAAAGTTTCCGATTGGAAAAACATTCAAGTACTCGAATGCGCTTGTTCCTAAATATTTCTCTACTTTCTTTCGGTCTTATTTTTCGGAGGAAGGGATCAAACAAATCGACCGATGGTAATTTTTAGCCGTGAACCAACAACGAACTTACCAACAACAAACCGATGGATAGGAACGATCGATCGAACCGAAAAAATCTGCGCGAAAGGACCAGAGTTTTCATAGTTGTAGACGACTCACCAAAGAATCGTCCGAATGTTGTTCGTTCTTTCTGACAAATCCAATGTATTTCTTAATAACGCATTGCACCAATCTTTCTTTTCCCGTTCAGTCCCTTACTGTGCTTCATATATGCGTATGTATATGTATATGTATCTATTCCGTCGCGAACGTTTACGAACGTAATCGATCGATGAAACAGTCTTTTATGGAAAACGAAAACACGAAAGAAAAATTTGATCGTATTATGATCGTATTACTGTTCGACGGTCGATTCGATTCGACCGAGATATCGTCGAAAGCCCCGGTCGTTTGGTCCAGGCTTTTGCATTGACTGTGATATTGAAAAATGTCTAACCCTTAATGGTCGAAAGACTGCGCTTAAATCACGCATATGTTATAAAAAAATGTGTCGATCGTTAAGGGCTAATATCTCTGCTTATAGTAATAGTATTTCATACTTATATCCTTTACTTACCTATCTTCTTTCTTTTATTTTATTTTTTTTTTTTCAACTATTTTGTGTATATGTGCTGCCCTTCTTTTTCTCTTTTTTCCTATATATTTTTTTCTTCTTTTTTTAAATAAATACCATATGCGTATACAATGATCATTACAATGACAACAGGGAATTCCTAATGGGAAAAAGTGCAACGGCGTTTTCGATCGTATGGTTAGTATCGTTTAAACGAAATAGTTTTATTCTATGTATTATTTATTTGATCAAATATTCAACGAATATAGTTCGTACATCAAAACATTATCGAACGAACTTTCGAGAGATCATGTATATATATATATATTTTCTTTTTTTTAAATGAATTTAATTGAATAAACTTGCATATATATATATATATATATATATATATATATATATATATATATAATTAAATT